GTGGGTGAATGCGCCAGAGTGGCGGGGGTGGGGGCAGGAGGGGTGCGGCTGAGGCATGCGGCTCGGTGCGTCCCTGCTGCAGGGGTAGGGATGCCTGATGGCATGCTTGGCGATGCGCTTCAAATTGCACCCACCTGTGGCGCTCGGTCCATTGCCCTTGTTGCGCCGGCCTGATGGTTTTGCCATAAGGAAGCGGCTACTGGGTAGCCGACTGTTTTATTGCTTGGCTGCTTGCGACCAGATCATTGCGATTAGATCACCGACCGTTTGCGATCGTTCGGCTGACCGTGTCGATATTCAAGATGAAGATCCCTCGAAAGATGTCTGCGACATCCGGCAATCAGCACAGGCAGCGCGCCAGGCACAAGGTCAACGAACTACAGTGCCACCAGCGCGGGTGACTGGCACCAGGTGACCGCCACATGCATGGAACACTGCAGCCAGCAGCAGAGAGCCAACTGTTGTGACTGAACGGGTCTGATCATGAAGCTTGCAGCATACGGCATTACAACACAGAACAGCATGACTGCACAACACACAGCACACAAAACAAGCGAGATGCCCCACAAACAAGTGGCCCGGCGAGAGTGCAACCCTTGATTTGCAGCCGATGGGGCGCAGTTGAGTGGCCCCAGCCGACAGGCGAACCGTGCAAGCGGCGGCAGCCCCCAGGTGGCCAGCAGCTGCCCGCCGCGCCGGCGCAGGAGATTTTAATGCAAGGGAACGGGGGCCCGCCGCGCGGGTAACGCAAGGCGCGTGCGGGGCATTCAAAAAAGCAGCCATGCCATGCCAGCATGAGCGGATGTCATCTCAAGCCATAAGCTCAGCAAACCCCCTTCCTTATCCTGATGCAGCCGTGCCTCATGCCTCAAACCGCGGGGCGTGGCGCCACCTTACGTTATCGGCAAGGCCCCGCCCTTCCAACAAGCTGCAGGCTGCGAGGGCGCCGGGCGTTGCCGCCCATGCAGCCGTCTGCGAGCCATGAGTAGCTTGCGGGACGCTGCCCTTGCGAGTCACCAACCTAGAGTCAGGGCCGGCCGTCCCCCAAGGGCCCGTCGCGACTCAAGCAGAAAAAGGAACAACAAACCAGTGGGGCCGGCAGCGACACGCGCAAGCCCTCACGGCGGCGCCCAACAAATCGGCGCGCCGCGCGCCACCGCGCGCCACACCCAAATCGAGCCGGCGGCGGCAATCCCAGCCGCCGGCGCGAGGGCGCGGCGCGCCGCGGCGCGCCTGGCGGCCAACAAACCAAACGCGGTGACGCCCGATCGGTCAATGTGTAAGCCTCGGGCCGCGTCGCCGCACAAGCAACGCGCGGCGACCTGCAGCTGCCGTGGATCGCCGCGACGGTCCGGGCCGCCTCAGCTCACGCTGCCTTGTGCTGCTGCTGCTGCTTGGGGCGCGCCGCCTCGTCGATTAGGTATACCAGCCCCCTGAAGTTGATGCCGCTGTGGTTGCTGAGCGACATCTCGCAGGTCCGGCTGGTGGAGTAGCCGTCCTTGCAGCCGGCCGGCAGGTTGAGGTGCTGCAGGCTGGCCGCGGTCAGCTCCTCATACCGCATGCCCCTGGGCGGTGCGCACGTGTGGATGGGTGGGTGGATGGGTGGGTGCGTGAAGGATGCAGGATGAAGGGGCCGTGATACGGCTGGTGGAAGGACCAAAGGAGCCGCCTCCAGAGGCGATTCCTTGAGCAATGAGCAGTGCCGCGGACACGCAGAATGGCGTCCCCACTGGCTGCTGTGCGGCTACTGCAGAGGAGGGCGGTTCCATCATGCGTGCGACCCCCAAGGCGCCTCGCGGCCCTCAGGGGGCAGGGCCGGCCTCCACGCGTCCCGGTCCAGCGTGGAGCGCGGGCCGCCCCCCCGGCTGCGCTGCTCGCTCCGCTCAATCAGACGCCCTCGCGGCGCCGCGTGGACGACCCCCCCTGGACGGCCGGGGCGCGCGTCCACCGCCCGCGCGCACCTGTCTCCGGCCATGCCGCAGCAGGGGATGCCGCTGTGCACGACCTCGTTGGCGCAGAGGCCGGCCAGCTTGGTGAAGGCCTCCTCGATGCCCATCTTCTTGGAGG